AAAAAAATGTAATCGTGGAAATGGAACCATATTCACAGCTAATTTACGTAAATCCGCATTTAACTGACCGGGAAAACGCAAACACGTAGTGACACCGGACATGGTGGCTGATACTAAGTGGTTTAAATCGCCATAGGTTGGTGTGGTTAGCTTTAAAGTTCTAAAGCATATATCGTACAACGCCTCGTTATCTATACAATAAGTCTCGTCGGTGTTTTCTACCAATTGATGAACGCTCAACGTGGCGTTGTAGGGTTCCACCACTGTATCCGAGACTTTAGGCGATGGTACCACCGAAAATGTGTTTATAATTCGATCCGGGAATTCGTCACGAATTTTTGATATCAATAATGTTCCCATACCCGAACCGGTGCCACCACCCAAAGAGTGTGTCAATTGGAAGCCCTGTGGCAAAGCATTACAGTTTTATATTCATCACGGGTTTCAACAAGTTAAAAAATTTTTATTGGTATGTAAAGAAAGTAAAATATACGCACCTGCAAACAATCACACCCTTCAGTTTCTTTACGAACAACGTCCAAAACTGAGTCAACTAATTCGGCACCTTCTGTGTAGTGGCCTTTTGCCCAGTTGTTACCGGCTCCCGATTGCCCGAATACAAAGTTATCGGGCCTGAAGATTTGACCAAAAGTACTCGAGCGTACTGAATCCATTGTACCTGGTTCCAAATCTACTAGAATAGCCCGAGGCACATACTTCGATCCAGACGCTTCATTATAATAAACATTAATACGCTCTAACTGCAAATCGCTGTCACCATAGTAGGTGCCAGTAGCATCTATGCAATGCTCATCGGATATAACTTCCCAGAATTTACCTCCAATTTGATTGCCGCATTGACCTGCTTGTACATGCACGATTTCACGCATTTTCTGTCCTTGTTTTATCGAATCCTATGATTGTAGGGCGAGTTGGGCGTTCGGTGCGTTTAAAATAAGCTTGCTTTATAGAGGTTTTTGGCCGTTTATTTTGTGTAGTCCAGTTTTTTCCGGGTGTTTGCGAAATTTTTTGAATAAAAATATTTAATTTTCTTTTACCTCAAAATGTTTTAATTTCGCCTGAAGCTAGAAAGACTTTCCAAATCCGTTTGATACTAGAGAATAATAACCAAACCGACCAAATGCTGTATAAAATTTTATACTTTTGAATTTTAAAGCAATGCTAACAAATTTTTAGTAAAAATTTTTAATTTCCACAGTAGTTTTTTGCCTCAAAACCTTTGCCTCTGTCTGTCTATCCGTCTATCTCTTGGCACTAAAAGGAGTAGACAGACTTGGCGGGCTGAAGCCGAGCAGAATAGAAATATATTTTACAACACCCATGAAGAAAGATTGATAGGGAGTCTTTCCATGACATAAACACATCCATTACGTTCTTCATACAACAAACTTAATTTTATTACAATACATTCTATGGCCGTTGCTATAGTACGTGCACTAAATTGGGAAAAATTCACCGAGCCACCCACTGTTATAGTCTATTAAAATGTAGTATTTTTTCGACATTTTTTTGATGCGCTGAAGCAAGCTTCAAAACCCCATAAAGTATATAAATTCCATGCTAGTTTCAAATTCAGAGTGAACTTAGGCATGTCCGTCTGCCGTTTGCACAAATGTGTAGTATCTGTGGTGAACGTTTCCCCGTTCGCAAAAGTGATGAAGAAATGAAGCCTATGAACTTGCAAAATGAGTTGGGAAAGACCCAGCCGGTGAAAGGACACGCCTGTGCAATAAAAAGTGCGCACACTTTTGCTCTCCGTGTTTTTGGCTTATTAGTCATAAAGTGTAGCACATATACAATATAAATTTTCATTTTTATTCTGAAAATAGAAATACAATAAAGTTGTTGTATACACAAGCTGTCTGACTAAGTGCAATCAGAAATACCATAAATGTAAATATTAAAATATATACTAAATTCTTCGCTCTCTAACTGTGAATTAATCGTTAAAACGTTTCGCGAAAACTGGTATACCCTCTTTAAATATTGTCTTTATGACCGTCAGGTTCTTGGGGTAGAGTACGTGGAACATGTCCTTACGTACGGCTTCCTACAGGGAGGATAAAAAGTTTAACAGCTAACAAATTAAAGATCGTGGTTTTCCGCCAGCAAATCGTTGAGTAACATCTGTGGACAAATCCCGAAAACGAAAAAAATTTGGTGAATTTTAGACACACTCTCTTCAACTTATATAATAAAGATAGGATTAATTAAAGTTTACACGTCCGGATCATATGCAAAACTGGGTAATATATAAATCCAATAATTTATTTATTCTGATACAACGAAAATGCAAATGTCATGAAATAATTAATTTTTGGTATAAACTGCAAGAGTACAACAAGAATCTTGAACTTTGATGTAAGAAAGCTTTTGTAACTAGACTAAAGTTTAGAATAATTTTAATAAAAGACAGAAAAACAAAATGATGCGACATTCATTCATCGGCTCCCCCCTCTTCATCTTCATCGAATTCACCTTCCTCTTCGGCTGTGGCCTCTTGGTATTGCTGATATTCGGACACTAAATCGTTCATACTGCTTTCGGCTTCAGTGAACTCCATTTCGTCCATGCCTTCGCCGGTATACCAATGCAAAAAAGCTTTGCGTCTAAACATGGCTGTAAACTGTTCGGAGACACGTTTAAACAGTTCTTGAATGGCAGTTGAATTGCCTAAGAACGTCGCAGACATCTTTAAGCCACGTGGTGGTATATCACAAACGGCTGTCTTACAATTATTTGGGATCCACTCTACGAAAAAGCTGCTATTTTTCTGTTGTATATTTAGCATTTGTTCGTCCACTTCCTTCATAGACATACGACCGCGAAATATGGCCGCCACGGTCAGATAGCGGCCATGGCGTGGATCACAAGCCGCCATCATATTTTTGGCATCGAACATTTGTTGCGTAAGTTCTGGCACGGTTAAAGCGCGGTACTGTTGCGAACCTCGAGAAGTGAGCGGAGCAAAACCAGGCATAAAGAAATGCAAACGTGGGAAAGGAATCAGATTCACGGCCAATTTGCGTAGGTCTGCATTCAGCTGACCAGGAAAACGTAAGCACGTGGTTACTCCGGACATTGTCGCCGATACTAAGTGATTTAGATCACCATATGTAGGCGTGGTTAACTTTAAAGTTCTAAAGCAAATGTCATACAAAGCTTCATTATCTATACAAAAGGTTTCGTCAGTATTTTCCATGAGTTGATAGACACTCAGCGTTGCATTGTAGGGTTCGACGACCGTATCAGACACCTTCGGTGACGGGACCACAGAAAATGTGCACATAATACGATCTGGATATTCTTCACGGATTTTTGATAATAGTAAAGTACCCATACCTGAACCAGTACCGCCGCCCAATGAATGTGTCAGCTGGAAACCCTAAAAACAAATTTTTAATAAAAATTTAAAATATCTTTTCAATGTTTTGGGAACGCATAAAAGAACGGAGAAAACGGACACCTGGTACAAAAGTCGTACGCGTTTGTGTAGATTTCAAACGTGACGGTGAAAAAACCCTGAGCACTTGACGATCTAGCGATTTTTTATAAGTTTTGCCTTTGTCGACATTGCGAAATAATATGCAAAACCCAAAACCTCGAAAATTCAGATTTCGCAGGATTAGGTATCGCACTCGACTTGTACTCACCTGTAAGCAATCGCACCCTTCTGCTTCTTTCCGAATGACATCTAACACAGAATCGACTAACTCTGCACCTTCGGTATAGTGCCCTTTGGCCCAATTGTTACCAGCCCCTGACTGCCCGAATACAAAGTTGTCGGGTTTGAAGATTTGACCAAAAGCACCAGAACGTACTGAATCCATTGTCCCTGGTTCCAAATCTACCAATATAGCTCGCGGAACATATTTGGCCCCTGTAGCCTCATGTGGGTAGACATTACTTCGTTCCAGTTGCAAATCACTGTCACCGTAATACGTTCCAGTGGCGTCTATGCAATGCTCATCAGATATAACCTCCCAAAATTTTCCACCGATTTGATTTCCGCATTGACCAGCTTGCATGTGCACAATTTCACGCATTTTGTGTTTTTGGTTCTTTTTGAAACAAGCGATCTTCAATTGGTTAAAACTATCTGCTTCTAATTATTTCTGCAGAATGTGATTGCAATAAAACCCACAGAGTCTCTTTATTTTTACTTTCTTAGCTCTTCTTCAAGTGCCGTAAGAAATGTTTATTTTTTCTCCCAACTTAAAAAAGTCTTTTATTTATCTGATGACAAACTTATATTGAATATGTTTAACAATAAAAAACGTTCCCAACATCAAAGAAAACTTGGCATTTTGAATTTGCTAAGCAATGATATTGTGATATGAATTAAAAAAAAAAAAAACAAAAAATTTGTTAAGTGATACACCTTACACGCAGGTTTTAGGCCGACAAGTTATAAGTTGTAATTTTTTGTTTCGTCTGAACGAGTTGGTGGAAAGAAAAGAACCAGAAAAGAATATTAGGTAGAGGGGGAGGAACGACTACGAGAATAACTAGAACGACATAACGCAAAAAAATGGACATTTACCACCTTTCCTATGTGATGAGTGTCTTTTGTAAGCCAGTGTGCTTTACAAGCGATGACATTTATCTCATATGTCCGACCCGTTTAGCTATGCTGATGGATTCTCGAATAAGCGTGTCACTTATGATGCAAGCTTTACTTTCGCATTATACAGGATGCTATGGTGGAAAATGAATAAATGGGATATTCTGTCAAGGGCGTATGAACATCAGAAAGATAGAGGGAGAAAGCACAGAGTCTGGCGGAGCTCGCGCCATGTTTTTATACCCTAAACCATTTATTGTACAACGGTATATTAAGTTGCATCACTGTGCACCACTGTGTGAGGAAGTTGTGGCTTTCATTATTTTACGTTCCTCTTATTAGCACTGAGACTGAATAAAGGTTTCATCCTGTTGCTTATATCTTGTGGTGCCAGATGTGTTTTTAATTAACGGATGTAAGAAGAAAAATCCCAGATCTCGTTTAAGGCTTTTGATTGCTAGACATTTCACCAGTCTTCATTTTGTAACAGTAGGAACATAAAACTATTCCTCGAGAACTATAAATAATTTAAGTAAATATGAGAAGGCAAAAGGACGTGTTTTCATGATAAGATTTTCAGAATTGTTCGCTTAAAGAATGTTTGGAGAAATTCAAAGTATAGGGATAAAAAATAGGGATAATTAGAACACGATGCCAAAACGCCAGCATAAAATAAGTACATAATTAAAACTTTATTAACACCTTTCTTTCCACGCAGCCCCTGTTTATCAACAGGTAGAAACCATACATCGAAAATTGTTAAATTTAAATTTCATTCTAAAACATTTAAGTGCGGAAATTACAATTTTAAGATTAAAATAAAATATGCAAATTTACGTACAATTTTTACATAACATAATTTACATAACAATTAACAGTCTCGTAATATTCCTGTAAATTTTCTTTTCCTTTTAGATTTTTTACAATCATTTATATGGTTTCCTAGCACAATTTTTAAAAAATTTTACAGAAATTTTTTGCTACAAATATTATAGGGAATTTTTTAAGACGAAAAAAATTGAAAGTTGTACATCGAATTTAAGCAGAATTTTAAAAGAAAATTTGTCAACATTTTTAAAAAAAAAAAAGTTAGGTTTTGCTTTTAACTTGGGGTTCTCACTGTTAAAGGAGGGGGAAAGATAAATTAAGAGTATTTGCGTAAAAAAAGCTAGTTACTAAATTTGAATAGAGCAGAGTCGAATATATAAGATCGGCCCGCATAACGCATTGTCTGTATGTAAGGGCGGTCAATATTGGAAAAATTGATTTTAAGTGATTTTTTAAAAATAAGTGAATACCTAGTACTTCTGTACTAAGATATTAGATATTAGGGATTACGTCACAGAATTGGAGATAAGAAGAAGAGATTTGTTATACGATCTCTACTAGCTAATTTCCCTCTTCGTCCTCATCAAAATCACCCTCCTCATCGGCGGTAGCTTCCTGATATTGCTGGTATTCTGAGACTAAATCATTCATGTTGCTCTCGGCTTCAGTGAACTCCATTTCGTCCATTCCTTCACCTGTGTACCAATGCAAGAAAGCTTTGCGTCTAAACATTGCTGTAAACTGCTCAGAGACTCGTTTAAACAGTTCTTGGATAGCTGTAGAATTGCCAATGAATGTAGCTGACATCTTAAGACCACGCGGCGGTATATCGCAAACGGCTGTTTTACAGTTATTTGGGATCCACTCAACGAAAAAACTGCTGTTTTTATTTTGTATATTCAGCATTTGTTCATCCACTTCCTTCATAGACATGCGACCGCGAAAGATGGCTGCCACCGTTAAATAACGGCCGTG